CTATAGAAAACACCCTCCCTATGATGAAAAATACCCCCCCACACACACACACGCCATAAGCGGTTCGACTTTGAAAGCATTTATTCCTGCCACACACCCAAGGAGGACACCTTGAGAAAACACATGCTCCCTCTGGTTATATCAGATAATTGGCTGCAGAGATCAGCTTAACTGTACTAAATGAGAATTACGTGTTCCAGAGTTCCTTTACCTATTGACTGCTACACTTGTCTTCAGAGACGTTTAATAGAAAAATGCATTGCCTCCATAAAACGTTATGCTAGTATTGATCTTTTTTTTCTGTGTGTATAGAAGCTCCATATTTCTCTACCACTAGCTGATCAACCTGGTCTCTTTTTTTCCTATACCAAATATGTGAGCAATTCAAGGGCTTCACATTGAATTTTGTTTATGTTCCTCTAAAGGAGCATTCTGCCTTTTATTAAGGGAGATTGCCTATGAAAATATAGCAAGGATGACTTTTATAAGTGATCTACTCCTGAAATTCAATTCGCCTGCTGTCCTGTGCCTACCCTTCCTTAAAAGCATCGTATGGCACAGAAATAAGATAAAGGATATGTGCTTTGTGGTAAGGCAAACCCAGTTTTCAATTCCAGTTGAGAAACCCAGTGGCTCTATGAATCTTAACTTAGCGTGACACTTCAACATTCTCAGTCTTGGGGAAAGCAGGGTATCAGTATCTTATGGGATTTTTATGAGAATGGTGCACCCACCACACATTTGGTGGCATCTTATTAGATGGTTAGAAATGAAAGCACCGTAATGACCTCGATCCGATGTCTTACAGAGAGAGAACTACTAAAGAGAATAAAGGGACTCACCCAGCTCAGTGGTTGGCCTTACAAGCTTTTGAATTCCACAGCCGTGGTGCTGTGGCCCCCACCACTCACTCCTCTGTCCCAGATTTTATCAAAGACATCCTAATTAATAACTCCAGTGGAGGCTTTTTGATTGATCGCTCTCTGGGCCTCCTACAGATTTTTGTAGACTCTAAGATGTTCTGCCCTCTGCACGCCCAGGATCCCTCAATCCCTCACGGTGCCAGGTCCAGCTGATGAGACTTTGTTTGTCTCATTGATTTTAGTGTCCCCAGAGTATTTCTCTAGGCCACTTTCCTTTTCATTGTATAGTTACACTCTTCTGTCCTTCCTACATAATCATTCCCAGATTTGGACCCCCCCCAAACTAGACAGACAGCCCTAGGCTTTCTACCGTGAGCCCACTCAACTGCTTCATCTTCCATCCCTAGCACTAAGCCCGCCCATTGCCCTTCCTGTGGGTAGAACTATCATCTACCCAGACACGCAGCAAATAAGTAGGATTTGTGTTCTAACTCTGGTTTTCCCTATACTCTACTCCTGGACTTAATACATCTAGAATCATTCTGTGTTGTACATCTATATAATACCACCATATTCCAGTGTAGGTCTTCATGACACTCCTAAGACTTACTTCCTCGTTCACCTTATGGAGTCTCCCGGCCTCTGAATAGACAACCTTCACACAAGCAGAACAAACTGTCAGCAAGAAGGCTACTCCAAGAGTAGCCCTCAGACAAATAACCTATTTTCTAAACATGACAAAACAAGGAGATTGGGCCCAAAGGTGACTCGGCCACACCACTAAGCTTGCCTCTCCAGCTGATGTTTTCAAATAGCAAAATTTACATGATGGAAGAGGCAGAGAACTGACAACCAGCATTGGTTTCTTGCAGGACTGCCCATCAGCTTTGGAATGGGCCTCCATCTCTGAAAGCCTAGAGACCCGGCATGCACTGTGAAGACGCCCTATTCTGAGTCCTTCCCTCTCCAGTCGCATCTGTCACTATGGTCAACTCCATTATTTCTGTCTCATCAGCCCATAGCAATGCCTGGTCCTCTCTGTCCATGAAAACCCCATTTGCAGGAAGTACACACATCACTGTTCCATACCACCACTATCTCCATCATGTGTCCCGCTCACCACCACAAGTTTGGTATTATTCTGCTCATGGTTTCTAATCACTTGACTCCACATCTCTATGTAAAAGTGTTAACTCCTGGAAGAGGAGGTCTGTACTGTCGTGGTCTCATTCGTGCTGTTTTTGATAGAATACTCCAAGAAAAGGCAACTGATAGAAGCAAGGGTTTGCTTTTCTGTTGCTATTGCTTGTTTGTTTAGCTTACAGTTTCAGGTTAGAGTCCGTCACAATGCAGAAGTCAAGGCAGGAACTTGCAACAGCTGGTCACATCACAACTACAGGCAAGATCAAAGAGTAATGAATGCCCCCATTCTCATTTACTTGTGCTCAACTTGGTTTCTCTCCTTGTACACAGTCCAGGACCCCTGCCTAGGGAATGGCACTGCCTACTGTCAGCTGGATCTTCCCATGTCACTTAATTTAATTAACAGAATCCCACACAGTCACAACCATAGGTCAACTCATTGCAAACAACCTCCCACCGAGACTCTTGCCCAGTGATTCTAGGTTGTGTCATGTTAACAAAGCTGACCATCCAATGCATAAAACAGCTGCTCCAGGAGCAAATAAACTCTCAAATCTCAGTAACTTGACAACATTTAAGTTCATTGCCTGCTCATCGGAGGTCCCATACAAAAAGAACAGGTGACTATCTCCAATGGTTCCATTGCATGGACCAGATTCTGTCATTTAGAGGTGGCACTGGCACCCAGGGCCTGGAATTCCTCTTTTGGATCTTTGGTTTTCATCTAATGATGAAAGAGAGAGAAAATACAAACTCACTTTAGTAGGCAAGAATGGAAGTAAATCATACCACTCTTCTCAAATCTATTAATTAGAAGCCAGGCATGCAGGTTCACCTGAGCTGACATGGACTCAGAAACACAGCTAACTAAGTGCCCAGGGTGGGGAAGTAGGGGGAGAAACCACTTCATGAGTACCAAGAAGAGCCCTCACCACATCGCCCCTGGACTTGCAGCAATTATCAGTGGTTCTTGGGACATACTTCCTTAGCGAATAATTAGCAGGTCTCTTGTGTTTAAGCAACTTATCACTCCATCGTACACCAGCTCTGGACACAGCAGAGACTGGTGGCATGAAGGCATGGAGGAGAGCTGCCTTCACCTGGGTACAATGGGAGTGCTACCAAAGGCCATGACAGACAGACGCAGGAAGACTGCTAGGTAAACACAGATGAGGTGGGGCAGGAAGCCAGGTTCATTTTCTTTACAATAAGTCCATCGGGTTTTTTCATGAGGCCTCCATCTAACCTCCTTTGGGATTTGGGACAAGCTGACTACTTTTTTAAAAAAGAAGAAAGAGAGAGACAGACAGACAGACAGACAGACAGACAGACAGACAGACAGACAGAGAGAAAGGAAAGAAAAGCCTTCTAAAGCCCCTCCCTCATTCATCCTTCAATTTATAGGTTTCATTTCCAAATGCTTAAAGATGGGCAATAAAAAGTCTTACATTCCACTTCTAATGATGCCACACTTTTTTCATGTATTTCAGATCCCTAGAAAAATCTTTAAATGTTCTCATTATACCCAAACAACATTTAACTGAAGCCATTCCCCCATAATCCCTTGACTTCAACATTTTATGGCACCCTTTAAACAAAATGTAAATTTGGAGCTCAAGTGGTTTAACAAACATCCCTTTAAAGGAATAGTATTTAATAATATGACCAATTGCACAATCAAAGTTCAGAACAACATTAATAGAAGATGGCATGAGATTCACCAAAAACACACCATATTACTGGGATACGAAACAATCCATTTTAAACATTTTCATGGAAATACCCATGACCCACATTTAGGAATGGGATTGAAGCATTCCTTGTTTGTTTCCTGGTTGAAGACAACTGTTAGGATCTTTGTACCTAGTAAGTGTAACATGATATTAAAAAAACAGACAATCAAATGACCCACAACATATGGGTTGTGGAAGCATAGAATCAGCAACTGTGAGCTCTCCACTTTATGGAACACAGACTCCAAGAGAACATAGCATCCTAGTTGCAGGGAAATGTGAGCTGAGCATCCTGCAGTAACCTCTCCCAAGAAATCACCAATTTTCCCTTTACTGCATCCTCAGCCACAAACCAGACAATAGGTTTACCATCCTTCATCTGCTTTTTGATGACAAAAGAGTAAGATTTATGAAGCCAAGGATCAAACCAGGGTTTACTGTCACCCTCCAGCCTGCCATTGTTGACATGTAGGTTCAGGTCTTTCCTTACACCTCTGGTCTGCCCTGTCTCCATTTAACCATCATCCACGTAGTATATTCTATACACTTGTCACTGATACACTGTAATACCTGCCGTGCTCAGGGAACTAGCTGGTATCCTGCCTGGCTACTATAAAGTGGAAAATGCATTTTACGACACTGATAAGCTGATCAAAAGAAAAGGCTTGTAGAAAACAATAGATACATCTCAAAAAAAATACATTTATTGAAAAAGGGGTTGGAAAGGAGCATGAAGAAGAGAGAAAAGATAAGATGAAACCAAAAATAAAGAAAAAGGTTTGCAGTGTTTGGATACAAGCACTTTAGAAAAGCAACTCAGAATTTCAAATAGAGATAATAAATGCAGCCGACACACTCTAGATCCTCTGTTTATATCATGAGATTCTTGTCATTCTGGGCATGGCTCCTGTGTCTAGAAATCACACTATGGCATTGCTCACTGGCCAAGCTGGGCATAGGACTATCGACTGTGTCCAACCTTTGCTTCCAACCTCTCTCTCTTTTCTGGCTTTATATTGAAACTCCCATATATGGAGTTGGGGGCTGCTACTCACAGGATCACTAAGTATCCTCATATCAGCCCAATAAACTTCTATTTTAATTGATTTTATTAAAGCTCAAACAAAAGAAGATTTAGTGAATGGCCACCAAGTACTGAACCAGAGGGGATACGAGAAGGAGCCAGTTTGCCACATAGGAGGAGTCTATTCATGATGCAAGCAGCCAAAAAAAAAAAAAGTAGGACATTTAACACCAATAATAAAAACAAGTCACCTGTTATTTTAATTTTTTAAATAATTACAGACAAAATGCAGTTCTCTATTATGGCAGAACACTTCTATGGTTGCCCTGCCCTTAGAGTATCATTGGGGTGTCTAGATGATGGCAGAGTTTCAGTGGGATTCAGTCCACCTTTGTCACTCTGGTTAGTGTTACTGATGGAAGACAGTTAGAAAGCATCGCTGTCTGCCCTCTTCTCCTGAGCCGTGTCTTTCTGAGCTCTAGAAAGGCCCCATATTGTTCTCCCACTCCAGAAGATGTATCCAAGGACTTCAAGGGGCATTCCAAAGCTTCAGGAGGGCAAATGACTTCGGCGTTTTTTTCTGTGCGTATCGTGAAGTGGAATGCTAGAAATTGAGGGCCTTGAATCTGTGGAAGAAGGAGAGATTAAACATGCATCAGTCTGACCACATTGTGACCCAGAGAGCACATTCTGTTGCTTGGAAATGGAGCCCCCACTGCAGGGAATGGGCAGGTAGCAGATGATGTGAAGGAAGAGGAAAGTAACTATTGCATGGATTAAAAAATAAAAAGTTAAAAAGCCAGTGTCCTACAGTGGTTTATACCTATGATCATCTGAAAACTGTGATGATGGTGTCCACAGGCTGTGGAAACCAGGGGGACATCTGAAAGCCATTTGAAATTATTCCATTTTGTTTTTCTTTGTTAGATACTGGGGACTGAACCTAAGCTCTTATATATGCTAGACAAGCTCTAGCTAGTTAGCTACCTACCTACCTGCCTACCTACCTACCTACCTATCTATCTATCTATCTACCTACCTACCTACCTACCTACCTACCTACCTATCTATCTACCTACCTACCTACCCACCTACCTACCTATCTATCTATCTATCTACCTACCTACCTACCTATCTATCTATCTACCTACCTACCTACCTACCTACCTACCTACCTATCTATCTACCTACCTACCTACCTACCTATCTATCTATCTACCTACCTACCTATCTATCTATCTATCTCCCTGCTTCCCTCTCTTCCTCCCTCCCTCACCCAATCCCTTTCTCTCCCCCTCTCTCTCTCTCATTTGCAAATCACCTGCAGAAATGTCCCTTCCATCTCTCCCCATCCCCACTTCCTGCTACCTCTCTCCATTCTCCACTGTAGACTTTTAGTGTGAAGAAAAACTTCTAAGCAGCAGATTGGGAGGTGGGTGTCATACTAGGCTGCCAACAGCAGATTTCATCTGTGAGGAAGAGGTCTGAACACTCTCAAGTTAATCATTTCTATCCTTTCCCATCCTTCCTTAATTAAGTGCTAGCTGAATAGCAGAGGAGTTAAGTGCCATGGGAATTCTGAGAGGAAATATCAATGGAACTGAAAACGCTTGGTAACTTGTACTAGTTCTACTTCAATCCAAATTTTCCCAGCTAGTAAAACTAAGGGCCATTTTAGGAGACCTATGAAAATCTAATACTATAGAAGCTTCCTAAAATACACACATATATGAATGGAATCTAAATGAAATCACAAAGAAAAGAGGAGGCAGGGCGCCAACTAGACAATTTTCACCAACAAATGAAGTACCCAGTACCAGGAATGAGTTACATCTGAGTTGTTGGCTAAAGAGGTCTGCCATAGGAACTCCCAAACAACCCAAGCTATGCTTACTCTCTACAGTAGGATGGTAAGGCCCTACTGCTAAAGAAAACACCTACACAGTTCACTGAGCCAAAAAGACAGCACAAGAAATATATATAGATGCAGAGACACACACTTTTGCACACACAGGAATCCCATAAAAACACAAAACTGTAAGCCATAATATATATACAAAGGACCTGTAGGAGGGGGGGGAAGCCCTTTTGATGAGTGATGTCCTTTTGTATATATGTTTTTCTTATTGGTTGATGAATAAAACACTGTTTAGCCAATAGGGCCAGGAAGATAGGCAGGAGTTGGAGACGAGGAGAATTCTGGGAAAAGTAGGTGGGGAGAGACTACAAGGAGATGCCATGTAGAGAATGGGAAGACAGGATACACCAGGTGTTCTCTAGTAAGATAAGGCCATGTAGAAATGCATAGAATAGTGGTTATGGGTTAATAATTAAGACAGAGCTAGCCAGTAAGAAGCCCTGGCCATCAGTCACCAGTTTTAAAATTAATATAGCGTCCATGTGTTTATTTGGGGCAAGGCAGCTGTAGAACCTGGCGGGAAGAAACTCCAGCAACACCCTTTGATGTTTGAAGTTCTCTCACTTTCACTCTCTATACACTCTCTGGTTACGGGTCTCTATATCTGTTCCCATCCATAGGCACCAGAACCGTGTCAGGTTTGGGTTCCTTCTCCTGGAGTTGGCCGTTAGTAAAATCAGATATTTGTTGGCTACTCCCTGTCTATATCATGGTCAGAGAACTAGAAAAATAACAGAGTTAGAACAGCAGCCTAGCCTTCGGAATCCTTGTCACCAATGTCCTAGCTGTGGTTTCTACCAAACGACCTGACCATAAGCAAGTTAGGAAGGAAAGGATTTATCTTGCTGACACATCCACATCGAAGGAAGTCAGGACAGGAACTCAAGCTGTGAACTGAAGCAGAAGCCATGAAGGAGCTCTGGCTTGCTCAGCTTGCTTTGTTATAGCATCTAGGACCACCTGCCCAGGAGTGGCACCTCCTCCAATGAACTGGATCCACCTGCACCAATCTTCAATCAAGAAAATGCATATCAGATTTGCCTAAAATAAAATCTTATAGAAATATTTTCTCAATCAAGAGTCTCTCTTTCCAAATGACTCTAGCTTGTGTCAAGTTGAAGTAGAACTAACCAATACATTGAGCTGTGAAGATTATTTCTTTTAACAATGGCTTCCTTTATACTATTCACCTAGTTTTATTATTTTTTATTTAACTATTTTAAATTATTTTTACACTTCAGGGAAGGCAATGGGCTTTAGTGTCCTTATCTCAAAATGAAGTATCAATGTTTAATTATCTATGCAATTCAGTCTCAAAAAAATCAACTAAGTGAAATCATGGTGACAAACTAAAAATAATAGGACTTACAGAAGTTAACACTAACATTATTATTCTTAAAACATGTTTTATTTCCTTGAAGAACTAAATCTGATATTTTCTTCTTTAAATTCTACTCTCTTTTTTAGTTTAATTTTTTTATTCATTTCACCTACCAACCACAGTTACCCCTCCCTCCCCTCCTCCCACCACCCCAGCCCCCATCCACTCCTCAGAAAGAGGCAAGCCACAAAGCCTGGCATATCTATTTGAGGCAGGATCAAGCCCCTCCTGCTGCATCAAGGCTGAACAAGGCATCCCACCATAGCGAACTGGCTCTAAAACATCAGGTCATGCACCAGGGATCCTGGCCCCACTGCCAGGAGCTCCTACAAGCAGACCAAGCCACACAACTGTCATCCACATGCAGAGATCCTAGCTCAATTCCGCGCAGGCTCCCAAACTGTCAGTTCAGAGTCCGTGTGCTCCCACAGGCTTGGGTCAGCTGTCTGACCACCCACCTAGTTTTGATTCATACACTAGAAAAATGCTCATTTTAGGCACCAGTCCCATGACCTGAGCTGCAGTAGACCATGTCAGGGGTGGCTTTCCTCAAAGGGGACCAGGAAACCGGTTAGTTACATCAGTTACACACTGGTGTCCTCGAATCACCCATTTGACTTCTGCCTCAATGATGCCAAGGGTCTTTGCAAACAGATTTGTTTTCAACCAAAACCAAGAAAAGCTGAGCTGTGGGTGTAGAGATGACTCGGCTGGTAAAGCTCTTGGTATAGAAGCTTGAGGACCTGACTTCACCCCGCAGCACTTACCTAAAAATCCAAAGCCTCATGGTGTGAACTCGTAGCCCCCTGTGCTGGGGAAGTGAAGAGACATAGATCCCTAAGGCTCTCTAGCTGGCCAACATAGCCTAAATAGCAAGTGTTGGGCCCCAGCAAGAAACCCTATCTTAGGAAACATGGTGGACAGCTCCCAGAGAATGACATCCAAGCTTGAGCTCCTGCCTCCATGTGTACACGTGTCTGCACACCTCTTACACACAAACATATGCATATTAAACACACACATGCGTGCTCACACTCACACACACACACATACACACACACAAGCAGGAAAGAGGGATTCAGTAGCCTTGTAAAACTTTACACAATATTTCTGGTAGAGAAGCATAAAATGAGCAATCCTCATCCTGGTTGCTCCTCTGAAGACTTACGGGGAAAAAAAATAACCCTAGGGTCCCAATAGCCAGCTCCAGCCCAGACTTCTGAACACCTATTCTTTTATTCGGCCACTTAGAAAAGCTCGGGCAGTTTTAATAGAGAGACCCAGACATTCTGTACTGAGAAGCTCACTCAGGGGCATCTAATGAAGAGTGGGCTGCTTTAAATATTTAGAGCTGCACTACCAAACCCACAACAAGGGGTGTGTCCGATGCATTTTCATTTGTCTGCGGTAAGAAACAGCAGAGGACAGGAAATAGTTTTCAATTAGCCAATGGTGCAAGACACGCCTGAGCCCTCAGCAATCATCACTCAGAAGTAAATAAGATTTGCATTAATGGGTAAGATGTCCGGAAAGCCTGTTTGGAACCAAAGCTGCTATATATTGATGAAGCCATGTTGATGTGGGTGAGAATGTCTGCATCGATTTGAATGAGAATGCCCTCCCCACAGGCTCATGTATGTGCATGCTTAGTCTCCAAGTGAACTGTCTGTTAGGACTAGGAGGTTTGGCCTAGGTGATGGAGGTATGCCACTGGGGGTGGGCTTTGGGGTTTCAAAAGCCCACACTAGGTCCAGTCTCTGTCTGTCTCTATCTGTGCCTCTGTGTGGTGTGTGTGTGTGTGTGTGTGTGTGTGTGTGTGTGTGTGTGTGTGTGTCTGGCTGGCTGGCTGGCTGGCTGGCTGGCTGGCTCTGGCTCTGGCTCTGGCTCTGGCTCTGTCTCTCTCTCTGTCTCTCTCTCTCTCCCTCCCAACCTCCCACTCTCTCTGCCTGATGTTGCCTGCAGACCGGGATGATGTAAGGCTCTCAGCTTCTGTACCAGTAACACAACCTGCATGCCACCATGTTTCCCACCATGATAATAACAGACTGACGCTCTGAAACTATAAGCAAGCCCTCAGTTAAACGCTTTCTTTTTCATGTGTTGCTTTGATGGAGGTGTTTCCTCACAGCAACTGAATACACACTAAGACTGTGTCCTTCTCCCACCCTGAGGCTGGTGCTTTCAGGATTCACAGAGTCAGAGTTGCAAAGAACAGCACCCATGGGCACTTGTTGGAGGCAAAAATCATGCTGGGGTAAAGAAGGGGCAAGGGGAGTCAGAGAGAGGTAGAAAAAGAACAAATACATTGATCCCAAGGAAGCCTTCCTTGTTCCCCAGGTAACATTCGCTAGTGGGTAAACAGAGGCAGAGAAGTAATGCAGAAAACCAAATGTCAACACCACACTGCCGTTGAGCCCTCCTGGCTTCACTCCCTAGAGGAAAGCAAACCTTCCACTCCATTACCCATCCACCTCTACTCACTGAGCTAACAGGAGTGTGTCCAGTCAGGGTTCTCTTCCTAAAAGCATAGAGACACATAAACTTCTTGAAGTGTTGTCATAACACAACCAGCATTTTTCCATAATAAACACGGCCTGTGGCCTCTGCGGATTTTCCACGGGCAGGTCGCTTTGCACCAAGGACTACTTCATGGCCAGTTAATGGCTCCTTTCAGGTTCTTCTGTTCACAACTGATTTCTGATTTTTTTCTTTTTCTTTTTAAAACAATCTTATTTCACATACCAATCCCTGTTCCCTCTCCCTCCTGTCCTCCCATTTCCCCCCTCTGTCTCCGCATCCCACCATCCAAGCCATCCACTTGTCAGAGAAGGTAAAGCCTCCCTTGGGGAATTTCTGATTTTTGCTTGAAAGAGAAAGAGCTTGGCCCCCTGGAAGAAATTATTCTCTTGGAGCCTAGTAAGACTACCCACGGGAAAAGGCAGTCATTTTGGGGGGCAGCATCACAGACTTAATGAGTATCTTTTCATTATAGGACTTCACAATGAAATCCTGGGGCAGTGGTTTTCAGTTTTAGAATCTTTAAAGGTACAATAAAGAAAATTAAAGCAAATGAAGAAACTCGGTCCTTTGCCTGGTACTTCTGCTTTGCAACCTCAGCCCAGAGACCACTACTTTCTCTTCTGAGCTATCTAATGTATTCTAACCTATACTTCTGGAGAACATACTCTCTATGTCCTGATTACTGTGATAGTTAGACATTATCTGCTGACTTATCCCTAATGAGAATAAAGAGATCAGCACCAGATGTGTGCACACACATTGTCCAGTTTTTTCAAATATGTGTTGTCACATTCCAGTTAAGTCACTACTCAGTGTTCACATTAAAAGAAATATGAGACTGGTATTCACAAATGAGTTAGAGAGGGCACCATGATCCCCACTCCTTTCCCTGAGAAATCCACATAATTATTGAAAAAAAAGAATAATTACTTTGGGTTTTCTAAGTGTGTCTATCATAGTCTTCCCCATATGCTCCAACCATGAGGCAATATTCTTCTCAATATCAGGTGCATTAAGTAATCTATGGTTTCTTTTCATACACGCTGCACCATAGTTTAAACAGGAAGTAGCCCACCCTGGGTGTTTAAGACTTGGTTCCCAGGTTGAGGTACTATTGGAAGGTGACTACATCATAAAGGTGATCACCTCATCAATGGCTTAATTCGTTGATGAGTTCATAGTTGAGTGGGCTACTGGGAGTGGGAGCTAGTTAGAGAAAGTGGGTCACTGGATGATGCTATTGATGCAATATCATGGACCCCTTCCAATCTTTCTTGTTCTTGATCTGCTACCCCGCAACTGCGAGTTGGGCAGCTTCCTTACCTTCCCAGCCATGACTTTCTGTTTCACCACAGGCCTAACAGCCATGGAGATGACCATCTGAACCTCTAAACCAAAAAGCTAAACAAATCTTTCCTTGTGTCAATTTTCTTAGGTATTTTGGCATAATGATGAACAGGCTGGCAAATACATGCACTATAGCACATGAGTGTTGGCAGACTTCTTGGCCGCACCTCTGAGATGCCTGTTTCTTGTTCTATACTGGCTTGGCTGCCCTCTTGCCTATTACCTGGATCACATGCTAGCAAAACATGACTGGAGCCACCCTCCACGCTCTTCCTGGACAATTCAGGTTCCTGTATCTCACTCATATCTATTTTCCTTGTTATTTATGTATTCATCTTTATGGGGCCTACAAAAAGGATACACTAAACATAGAATTTATTTTGGACTTAAATTTGCCTTTTTTATCTTTATGATTCACTGACATTTTGACTGGTTGTAAAATTAGGAAGTAAAAATAACTTTTTCTCAAAATGTCAAAGTTATCCAATGTCACCTTCAAGCTTCCCACTAATACTGAAGAGGTAAGTTTTAGGCCTGAGAAGATGGCTCAATCTGCCAAGTGATTGTCCTTGAAAGTGTGAAGACCTGAGTTTGGGTCTGGACATGTATGCAAATGCTGGAAGAGTGTAATTCCCATGGTCGAGAAGCAAAGAAAGGAAGCCTAAATTAGCCAGATCAGCAAGTTCTGGGTTCAAGTGAGAGATCCCATCTCAATATGATGTAGAGTGGTCCAGAAAAAAAAAGCCTGATGCGAACCTCTGTCCTTCACAGGTGCCTGAGCGTGCCCACACACCACACACACATACATACATACATACATACATACATACATACATACATAGAGAGAGAGAGAGAGAGGCATGTACATGCACACATGTATATAGATAGATACACACAAAAGTTTTACTTCTTGTTCCTTTTTTACATGAATTCTTTTGTTTGAGTATAAATTCACAACATCCTGAGAAAGGGTTTTGTCTCTCTGAAAATTTATGTCTTTAAAATTCACCAGATTCTCTCTGAGATCTCCTGGCTTGGGGACTGCAGGCAGATGGGCTCACCCCTGGCTCACCAAGCAACAGCGAGTCTGCTGAAGGTATTATCCTAATGCAGTTCCCACCCACCAGAGAGGGAGTGCCTCAAACCCACCTGCACCCACCTTGAGGCTCATTAGAGTATTGGACCTGCTTGCACACACTGGAAGACAACCTTGGACCCATAGCAACCAGGAGAGGAAGAGACCCCACCTGTACACATTAGAATAAGGGATGGGAAGATGACAATGTAAGAACACATTCAACAACAGAAAAACCAATAGGATCCCACCAAAGTCTAGGGACTCTACACCAGCAAGACCTGAACATCCCAACACAGATGATGAAGCAGAAGAGAACAACCTTAAAAACAACTTCATGAAAATAATAGAGACCCTAAAAGAGTAATTGTAAAAATTCACTAAAGAAATGGAGGAAAAGACAAACCAAAAATTGCAAGAAATAATTCAAACAGTGCAGGGTTTTAAAGCTGAAACAGAAACTATTAAAAAAAAAACACAGTCTGAAGGAATGCTGAAATTATAAAAGGTGGGTAAAGGATCAGGAACTACAGATGGAAGCATAACCAACAGAATACAAGAGATGGAAGAGAGAATCTCAGGCATTGAAGATACACTAGGAGAAATAGATTCATCAAACAAAAAAATATATTAAGTCCAACAAATCCCTAACACAAAGTATCCAGGAAATATGGGACACTGTGAAAAGGCCAAACCTAAGAATGATAGGAATAGAAGAAGGTGAAGAAACCCAACTCAAAGGTGCAGAAAACATATTCAACAAAATCATAGAAGAAAATTTTCCCAACCTAAAGAAAGGCATACCAATGAAAGCACAAGAAGCCTACAGAACACCAAATAGAGTAGACCACAAAAAAAGTTCCCTCACCACATAATAATTAAAACACCAAACATACAGAATAAAGAAAGAATATTAAGAGCAGCTAAGGAAAGGGGCCAAGGAACATATAAAAGCAAACCTATCAGAATCACATCTGATTTCTCCATGAAAACTCTGAAAGCCAGAAGGTCCTGGATAGATATTCTACAATCATTTAGAGACCACAGACGCCAACCCAGACTACTATACCCAGCAGAGCTTTCAATCACTATAGATGGAGAAAACAAGATATTCCACAACAAAACCAGATTTAAACAATACATATCCACTAATGCAGCCCTACAGAAAGTCCTGGAAGGAAAATTCCAACCTAAGGAAGTTAACTACACTGACAAAAACATAGGAAATAGATAATCCCACTTTACCAAAAGCCAAAAGAAAAGGTGTGGTAAATCCACAAAAAAAATATCACCACCAACAATAAATCAAAAAAAAAAAAAGAGTTGACATTCAATGGTCCCGAATTTCCCTCAATATTAATGGTCTTAATTTGCCTATAGAAAGACACAGGCTAGCTAACAGAATGGATACAAAGACAGAATCCATTTTTCTGTTGCATATAAGAAACACACCTCAACTTCAAAGACATACATTACCTCAGAGTAAAAGGTTGAGGTAAGATTTTTCCAATCAAATGGACACAAGAAGCAAGCTAGTGCAGCTATCCTGGTATCTAACAAATTAGACTTCAAACTAAAATCAATCCAAAGAGATGAAGAAGGTCATTTCATATTCATCACAGGAAAACTCCATCAGGAAGAAGTCTCAATTCTGAACATCTATTCTGCAAATACAAAGTCATCCATGTTCGTAAAAGAAACATTACTGACCAGCTGTTCCGGCAGGACCAAGTAAAATAGGCCCTGCATCCGGGCCTGTGTTCTAGTGCCTGGGGATTGCCTGGGAACTGCACAGAGCTTCCAATCCCAGCAAGAGTCAATCACCCCAGATTCCAGATCTTCTCTCCCTCCAGCGAAACTGGGAAAACAGCAGATCCAGCAAAGGGACCAGGAGACCAGGTGGGAGGCTAAGCACCCCAGATTCCTGGTCTTCTTCTCCACCCACAGGACCAGAACAAGGACGAGGAATAGAAGAACTACCAAATTATTGGACTTGCTAGCACCCACCAAAAGGGAACTCTGATCAGTCCCCTAACCACCAGACCAGTAAGGGGGTCTTTCTGTACCCACTAGAAGAAGAGATGGGAAAGAGACAATACAAAAACACGCTCAGCAACAGAAAAACAAATGGCACTGCCAGATTCTAGAGACTTCACACCAGCAAGACTCCAACATTCCAATGCAAATGAAGCAGAAGAGAATGACCTTAAAACCACCTTCATGAAAATGATAGAGGCCCTAAAAGAGGATGTAGGAAAATTCCCTCAAAGAAATGGATGAAAAAACAAAGCAAAAATGCAAGAAATGGAAGAAAAAGCAAACCAAAAAATTCATTAAATGCAACAAATGGATGAAAAGATTAACCAAAAATTGCAAGAAACAATGCAAACAGTGCAAGAGTTGAAAACTGAAATAGAGACAATAAAAAAAATACAATCTGAAGAAAGGCTGGAAATAGAAAAGCTGGGCAAATGGTCAGGTACTACCGATACAAGCATTACCAACAGAATACAAGAGAGGGAAGAGAGAATCTCAGGTGTTGAAGATACACTAGGAGAAATGGATTCATCAACCAAAGAAAATCTTAAGTCCAACAAATCCTTAACACAAAACATCCAGGATATATGGGACACCATGAAAAGATCAAACTTAAGAATAATAGGTATAGAAGAAGGAGAAGAAAACCACCTCAAAGGGGCAGAAAACATTTTCAACAAAATCATAGAAGAAAACTTTCCCAACCTTAAGAAAGACATGCCAATGAAGGTACAAGAAGCTTACAGAACACCAAATAGAGTGGATCACAAAAAAAGCCCCCCTCGCCACATAATAATCCAGACCCAAAATATACAGAATAAAGAAAATTAAGAGCAGCTAAGGAAAAAGGCCAAGTAACATATAAAGGCAGATCTATCAGAATTACACCTGACTTCTCCATGGAAACTCTGAAAGCCAGAAAGTCCTGGATAGATATTCTAACAACACTAAGAGACCATGGATGCCAGCCCAGACTACTATACCCGACAAAGCTCTCAATCACTATAGATGGAGAAAACAAGATATTCCATGACAAAACTAGATTCAAGCAATACGAGTCCACTAACCCAACCCTACAGAAAATTTTGGAAGGAAAACTCCAACCCAAGGAAGTTAACTACAACCAGAAAAACATAGGCATTAGAGAATCCCTCTCTACCAACAGCCAAAAGAACAAAGGGGTGAAATTCCACATATAATTCCACCAACAACAACCATTCCAAATCAAAGAAGAATGAGCAATCAATGGTCATTAATATCCCTCAACATTAATGACCTTAACTCACCCATAAAAAGACACCGGCTAACAGAATGGATTCGAAGACAGAACCCATCCTTCTGCTGCATACAAGAAACACACCTCACCCTCAAAGACAGACATTACCTGAGAGTTAAATGTTGGGAAAATTTTTTCCAATCAAATGGACCAAGGAAACAAGCAGGGATAGCAATCCTAATAGCTAACAAATTAGACTTTTAAAGTAAAATCAATCAAAAGAGATGAAGGAGGTTATTACATACTCATCACAGGCAAAATCCACCAAGATGAGGTATTTATCCTGAACATCTATGCCCAAATACAAAGGCATACACATTCAT